CTGAAAATATACCCGCTTTTGCGGGGGTTTTTTAGTTTAAACCCCCATATCCTTACTGGATTTCCCCCGTGTGATAACGTCCATAGTCAGGCAAGCAGGCAATAACCAGTTGTTTCTTGGTTCAAGATAGCAGATTTTATTTTAACAGAATGAAACCTAAGCGCTTAGGGTACCGAAGCCAGGCCCCAGCTGAGCTCAGCTTTTATACAAATGCATTCCCAGTACAGTTCTTTCTCACCAATCAGTGCTTGCCAACACATTCCCTTTTACCAATCACCACCTGCCAACACATTATTCTCTTTACAAGGTAGCAAACGCCTTATATGGCCTAAGGTTTTTTTTAGTACTCTCGGCCCACAAGTACTTCTAAGCTGGTTGCGGCCTTGCTCACTTACAGTATATACACTTGTCCCTCCCTTTTCGCGGACTTGGAATCCACCGTCTAGCTCAGGGGTAGGCATCCCTTTTCGGTCCTGGGCCGGTCCCCTGAAGTCCTCGTCTCCACTGGACCAAGGGGGGGGGGAATGGTGGCGCGCGCGCTGCTGCCACCACCACCACCACCACAGCGCGCACGGCCACAGCTGCCGGCGCGCATGTCGCAACCGCCATTTTGAATTCCAAAGTACTCCTGCGCATGCGCAAATGCGTCGTGGCCGCCATTTTGGAATTCAAAATGGCGGCTGCGGCACGCATGGCCGCACAGAAAAGAAAACGAGCGGCGGCGCGCAGCGGCGGCGGCGGCAGCAGGGGTCCGCCTGGGCCGGTAAGTCCAGCGACCTGGGTTGGAACTGGCCCGGGGGCTGTAGGTTGCCGCCCCTGGTCTAGCTCTATGCAGGAGGGACAAGCGGCTATAAACAAAATGGCCACATGTGCCATTATTTCCTATGGGACTTAAATATCTGCGAGTCGCCATTTTCGTGGGGAGCTACTGTACTGAGGTGCTACTGTACATGTGTGTGTATACACTTGTCCCTCCAGATTCGCTGGGGTTAAGGGCACAGAACCCCCATGAATGTAGAAAAACCGCAAATAACAAAAACACTTATGTTTTTACCTGAGAGAACACCTCTCTAGGAATCTCTAGGTCCTCCAGCGCAACTCTGTGGTCAACATCTTCCAGACATTGATCATAGAATTGCGCTGGAGGAGCTACAAATGCCAACTGGAGTGTTCTCTAGGAATCTCTAGGTCCTCCAGTGCAACTCTGTGGTCAACATCTGCCAGACATTGACCATAGAGTTGCGCTGGAGGAGCTACAAATGCCAACTGGAGTGTTCTCTCTAGGAATCTCTAGGTCCTCCAGTCCGACTTTTGGTTAAAGTTGACCATAACATTGCGCTGGAGGACCTAGATTTCCTAGAGAGAACATATTAATAAAATCAGTGAATCATCAAATCCACAAAAGTCAAAGCTGCAAATGTGGAAGGACGTGTGTGCGTGTGTGCATGTGTGTGCACGTGTGTGTGAATATCTATCTATCAATCTATATCTGTGTGTCTATGTGTTTGTGTAGCAGTTGGACTATGCCTGGAGATCACTGGTTTTGCCTCTGTGTGAGATTTGTGAGTGTATAAACACACACACACATACTTTCCTACCGAAAGAGTATGTGGAAGGAGAGCCAGCATGGTGTAGTGGTTTGAGCATTGGGCTACGACTCTGGAGATCAGGGTTTGATTTTCTGCTCAGCCCTGGAAAGCCTCCAGATGGCCTTGGGTGAGTCGCACTCTCTCAGCTTCAAACAAACCCTGTGATAGATTCGCCTTACAGTTGCCGTAGGTCGGAGGCTGGGAAAATGACTTGGAGGCACACAAGAACTGTTTTCTAGTGCTCCCGAGACTGAAACACAATCCAATTAATTCAATGATAAAAAAAAGGAGATTGCACCTAAACATCAGGAAAAAACTTTTTTTAAAAAAAATTGTAAGTTATTTCAAAATTTTACTTGTCTAGTGAATAGTACTTACTGGTTTTAACTACAGTTGGCTTTGACTTTTGTGAAATTGATGATTTGCACTTTTGATTCATATGTTCTCTCTAGGAATCTCTAGGTCCTCCAGTGCAACTCTGGAAGAAGTTGACCATAGAGTTGTGTGGAGGACCTAGAAATTCCTAGAGAAAACGCTTCTCTAGGCCTTTGTAGCAGCACAATTCTATGATCAACCTCTGGCAGATGTTGACCATAGAGATGCCCTGGAGGAATTAGATGCCTAGAGAGGTATTCTTGCCGATAAACAGAATGGTGTTTTTCTATTTGCAGTTTTTCCACATTCACTGGAGTCCTTCGCCTCAAACTCCAGCAAACGTGGAGGTACCGCTGTATGTGTTTTTAACTTCGGTTTTAATATTAATAACATTTAATTATTTATTAATTTTTGAAACCAGTGTTTTAGTTTAAACTTTTAAAATTATCATAAGCCGCCTTGAAACCCATTTTGGGAGAAAGGTGGGATATACTGTAATAAACTGTCTCCAAGGGTGATAGATTTTCTAGCTTTTGAGGTCTTTAAACCAAAGTTTAAAGGGGTAACATAGTGGTTTGAGCACTGGACTGGGAAACTGGAGACCAGGGTTCGAATCCCAGCTTGGCCATGGAAACCCACTGGATGACTTTGGACAAGTCACACTCTCTCGACCTCTGAGGAAGGCCATGACCAACCCATTCCAAACCAATCTTGCCAAGAAAGCCCTGTAAAAGGTTTCCCTGAGGGTCGCTATAAATTGGAAACGACTTGAAGGCACACAATAACTTTTGCATGGTGGGGCTTAGATTCGATGGCCTTTTAGTTCCCTTCCAACTCTAATAGTCTTCCATGAACAATAAGCTTCTTCTGTGACGAATAAACCGAAGTTGGATGGGCACCTCTCAAGGGTGCTGTAATTGTAGATCCCTGCCTGGTAAGGGGTAGGACTGGATGACCCTTGGGGGTCCCTTCCAGTACTAGGGATCTTTGCTTTTATGAACAGCAACCTCCCAGGTCCCTTTGGTTCAATGGGTCTCCTGTTGTTGAGACTAACTTTGGTGATTCAGCTCCAGGTCAGAAAAGCATGTGCAAGGAAGACAGGGAGAAGGACTACTACATAACCCATCACTCCCCAGGTCTCAGCTTGCTTCTCCTGCCCCCAAGGCCAGGTTGGGGAGGGGAACTGACTGAATGGAGTGGATAGGTTGCCTCTCTCTTTGCTTCCAACAGACATGGACGGGGGGCGGCTATATGTCCAGTTCTGGGCATCACAATTCAAAAAGGATGTGGAGAAACTGGA